CTTCTATTTAATAAACCTCCCTTTCTGTTTGCCCATGCTTTGGCCAAACTTATTTCCCAATTACAATTTATCTATCTTAAAATTGAAAACCACAACTGATTTTCTATATTATTTCCTGTGTAATAAACTGCCGCCTACTTTCCTTTGTGAAGCAGATGCAGGCATTGGAAGTCTGTAATCGGACGGAATACAGAGACGATTTTTTTTGGGGGGGGGAGGGATTGTAGTTGTCGTGTGTATATAATTATGTATATACTATTGTAATCAAACACAAGATAATTAAATTGTATACAAGTAGTATTTATCATAATGTTTTAACAAAATTAAAGGTTAAGTTAAATATTAATGAATTGCATTATTTTTAAATAAAAAATAGTAATATTTTTTTTCATTAAAATCGAGAATCCAGGCCTGGGCAAACAACGACGAAGTATTATTATCTCTATATTTTTTTATTTTGTTTCATTTCATTTTGTATATTTTTTCATTCTGTGATCAGATGTCAACAGAGAGAATGTAAAATAAAACCGCAATCGAATTCCAAATGAAACATTGCTCTACATACGAAACATTACTGTCTCAAGGTACTGAAGAAAAGTCGACCAGGATTTCAAAAAGATGTGTTGACGCCTTTTCTAACTTGTCTTTCTTTTATTAACATTACTTCTCTCTTTCCTTCTTATCTTGTTCAGTATTTCTTCCTCTTCTTGATGATTCCTATTTTTTCATGCCTTGTACCAATTTTAACTTTTTTTCTCCTGGGCCTTTTGGCGGCCGCATGTTTCCTGCCGCCGTCGATCCACCACTGCGATTACATTAAGTCACATATCCAATCAGTTTTGAGTGGAGGCTGCTGGAATTTTGTTTTGATAAAGAGAAAATTACGGTTCACTTCTCTTTCTTTTTAGGGGCTATTTTAAAACATTTTATTTGATCGATGTGTTTGGGCAATGTTGTGGTATCATAAACAGCTTTGTTTATAATTGCAGTAATTCTGAAAAAAGGATATATTATTCAATTGTTGCTATTGTGGTGATAAAAACGTAAATAGGAGAATATTATTTATGTATGTGCAGCACTGTACAAACGTTGTATTTGATCGGCATATTGTAAGTATATTTATTTCAGAGAACGTTCTAGAGAATTCCTGAGTCTATGTTGGAATACGTAACCCCGTCTACGTAAATATTTCTTCATCAAAAGTCCGTAAGGACGATCTATCGTACACACACAGATATACTTGATCGGGATAGGGAAAATTCGGGCCAAATATAGAATAGTAGGATAATTAAATAAATAAAAGGAAGAAGGTGTTTATAATTTTTATACAAAAAAAGGCCGCGAATAAATTCTTAATAAATTGGCATGTCCAGTGCTGGCGAAGATATTAATGTTATTATTATTATTAGTTATTATTATTATTATTATTATTATTATTATTATTATTATTATTATTAATATTATAATTTTCATGAATCTCAGATAAAATCCACTATCAGACATATGCATTGCAGAATTTCTTAATATTTCTTGTTCGTTCTATTCGATAGTTTATTAAAAGCACTGTCACCATTGACTACATGTATGCATTATTATCTGAATATAAACACTAATTACTTATATGTACCAACACTCACTAACTTAAAACATTATGGGAAAGTTCAGCAAAAAATAGAAGAATAAATTAATATGTAGTATGTGTATTCGAGTTGACAATTCAGTCCCCCCACCTCTCATGGGTGAGCACTGATTAGTGTGTGTGACTGTGTGTGTGAGAGAGAGAGTGAGAGAGAGTGTGTGACAGACAGTGAGAGAGTGTGTGAGAGAGAGTGAGAGAGAGTGTGTGTGAGAGTGTGTGTGTGTGAGAGAGAGTGTGTGTGAGAGAGAGAGAGTGTGTGTGTGAGAGAGAGAGTGTGTGTATGTGTGAGAGAGAGAGAGAGGGGGGCTAGTGTGGTGGGTGTAGTACCTCAGCGTGAGGCAGCGCAGTTTCAGGCACTTGACGCGCAGGATGTCGATGGCCTTCTGGCTCTTGTCTGAGAAGCGCAGGTTCTCGGGGTCCCAGCGCAGCTCCAGCCGCTCCAGATTGGGCACGTTGTTGGCGATGCCGTCCATGAGCTGGTCCACGTGGATGTTCACGCCCAGGCGCTCCTGCGTCCCCATGATCAGGATCCTGTCGCAAACAAACGTTCGATTTACATTTGCCCTAGCCCTGCCCTATTCAAGAAAATCCTTACAACATGGCATTTTGTGGGTCAAGTCTTAGGTTCCCATCAGACTGGTTTCGTTTCCGGCCGAATTCGCGTACGGACAATTACTAAATCCGAAGAACTCTTCAATTAAAACTAGAGGCGCACCCATTATTTTTATTTAAGGGGGAGGGGATTGCTAAAGAAATAGGGTTCAGCCAACTTGATATTTTCTTATAAATAATTTTTCATTGATGCTGTGTATAAAATCTATTTGGCTTTGTTGACTAGTAGTTAATATTTATAACGTAAACAACTGATATATTCAATAACTTTCGTTAGAATTGACAATCAGTAAAGGTTATATTTTTAATATGTACCATTATCTTGTCGGGGGGGGGGGATGAGCCCCGACCTCTCCTTCGGTGCGCCACTGGTTAATAATTTAGATGAAAACAGCGAAACGATGTATGAAAACTGTTTTTACTAGGCAACCCGCTGGACATTTATGCATTCCCTCTTGAGTAATGCTGCGGTTCTTGCAATTTTCATGCCACGTGAATTTTAGCTGCGACCCCGAGGGGGGGGGAGGATGAAGGCATAAAAGAGACGAAGAAGTAGCAAGAAGAAGATGAGACGTTTTGTCTCAGCTCCATAATTATTTCTTGCGTATCAAGCCCCAGTACAGCGAGCCCTGACAGCTAGTAATAGACAGTAGTATTTATTGAATTTTAACCAATATAAAATTAATGGCATGTCCTTTTTACGGACATATTACAGTTTTTTCAAATAGTTTTTCGGTTATTATTTTCGTAAATAAAAATCTCTGTAATACAAGTAGGTAAAATGATACAGATAATAATACTTATTTTCTAATGAACAAGAAGGAAACTCACTATACAAAGGGGAAAATAACTTTTCTACCATTCGGCAGAATCTGTAGGTCGTTCGATTCATGGAATTATTCTGAGCGAACCTTTAAGTTACACACTAGATTTAGAGCAATAGTCTAACTTATTTGTGTTCCATAGAACTTCAAATTTTGATTTTAATCTTGCATTATTGAGGCATTTCTAAAGGTCTACCATCCACTACGTACCACGCGACAACGTTTTGCCTTGTTTTACATTGCCTCTTGGAGATCATGTATATATTTTATCCAACTGACACGAAACGTTGTATTTATTATTTATCAAAACAATGAATGTAAACAACGTATTAATATTTTACTGTAAGTGAGAAGGAGACGCATTTGTTGAATGAACGCATTTATAGACAGCCAAACCTAATTAAAAAATATAAATTCAGAGTGGAAACAGGTGTTGGGGAAGTCACAAGTTGCCAATAACTTTTGTAAGCAATGTAAACATATCAGGAGACAAAGTTTGTTTCTTATGAGTACTGGAGAAGCGGAAAGTGGATTGGACTCACTTGGCGTTGGTGAGAATTGGCAGCACGGACTGCCAGAGCTGGTCGGTGATATGCGGCATGCCCGAGAGCCCCAGGCCCCACAGCTGACTGCCGAACCGCGAGAGGAACTTGTGCAACGCGTCGTCTGTCAGGTTGTCAGAACTGTCCAGGTCCAGCGCGATCAGGTTGCGCACGTTGCCGGATTCCATGTATGCCTTCAGCACCTGCAACAGGCCAGCAATCAGAATAGGTTTCTTGCTTGTAAAGACCATGCTTACGCAACAAAAGAAATGAAATAAATATTGAATTGCTTCCACTCTTTGTGAACACATTTATTGCATTTCGAAAGGAAGAGTGCATCTTCCCAAACATTAATTATATTTTCAAACTTTTATCAAAGGCAGATAATTTGGCTCACTTTCATCCTCTGGTAGTGATAAAATTTGTATAGAAGCGATATGAAAAACAGACAGAATGTGTATGTGACAGTACCGCTTTATTTGATCATAACTTCCCACAACAGATTTTTAAAGTACATTAGTGATTAGCGCTTTTATCATTATGCATGTGATTAGTGCTTTTATATTTACTATTTTAAAGATATTCTGTGTCTAACTCCATTTATTTCAATGTTCCAAAAATAAGTGTTTCAGACCATGTTCTTGTAGGATTTTTAATTGACGGGGTTGAATAATGCGGAACTGTTCCTTAAATCACACGCCAAAACAACGGAAGTCGTGCAAGCTCAGAGCTGAAATCATATTCGCGACCTTTCCACGCAATGCGCCGAGTCGCTTGACTTTCAGCCATCGTGACCGTTAAAGCTAACATGAAAAACACTCGAGGTCAATTTTAGCAATTTCAAACTAACTATAAATTAAACTACACTTTCGACATATCCGGCAAAATACAGATAGGTCCGCATAAGTGTTACCAAGTTCATGGGCATGTAGGTGGTCAAAGATCTCTCTCGGCCCACGAACATGTGGTGGAAAATCTCTTTAACAAAGTTGCACACTTTAAATTTCTGACACTCCTTATTGACTGATAACTGATCCTGAACTGGGGTTTGGTAAGTACACAAACACTCATGGGATGACCAGACCCCTATCAGCGCGTTTTTTTGAAAATGTTATTGTTAATTTATTACAATGTTATAACGCGCATCTCGCGTATTGGTCAAGCAGTCACTTCCTGATCCACTTCCATTAAATGAGAATCCACACATCTTCAATGACAAAAAGTGATAATTTTTATTCCCCCTACGTGCCCAAGAAATGAGTAATATTTATTCTGGATCATCGGGTTTAGTATTATTCCTGGTAGGTTGTATATTATATGTTCGTAGAATGATTAAATATTTACATTGATCTGAACCAGGGGTTCCCAAACAGGTCGATATTAGCCCCTTGTGGAACGACTAAATTTTAAAGTGGGTCAATAAATAGTAAGGGGTCGTCTGGGGGTCAGTAGCCGAATATGAACTAGATCGAAGTAATGAATATCAAGATACCATTGATTTAAAAAATGGAGATGTTAATTTTTTTCTGATATAAAGCTACAAAAATCGCATAAAACATTTCAAATTCACTGCTCTCTTTTGTATACATCATTACCATTTGTAGTAAACTCAAGAAGTAAATCTGTATTCATAACGTTACTTCATTCCACGAGAAAATTTTTTCCATAACACCTACAGCAGAAATGTAATGGCTATTTCTTGAAAAATGCTCAACATAGAATGTATTTTGCAACCATCGCATGACAATAAAGGTTAGAACATAACTAGTTAAGAAACTGAAGTGTTTCCGATTATTGGAAATCAAAGTATTTACGAAAATATTAGTATGCGATATAGTTATTTGTAAGTTATTTATCTTCAATTCTTTGTGACATGATTAGGTCTGTGTATGAAAGAGTGTGTATTCTGTGTATTAAAGAGACAAAAGCGAGGGGAACCCATAAGCAAATTATTCTTTTAAAATTGATCGATGCAAGAAAAATTTGGGAATCTCTTATCGAACCGATTAGGGTAAAATATTACAAATCAGGTAATCGATTAAAGTTCAGCTTAATATTTTTTGAGCGCAATTCCTCCATTCACCTTACTCGTTAACTTGTTTCTTTTCATTGACAAGTTTGCCGCTAGATACATGGTACAAATTCTTTGAAACGATCTAATTCTTCTAAAGTATAACATTATTTCTGTTAGTTTGACAATAGTTAGTCTGACAATAGTTTTCATGATAATGTTAATGAAAACCACTGCGAATGATTCAATGAAATATACAAACTGGTTAAAAACTTGAATGTTCACATCACGTTCAAGGTAGTGCTTCAAAGAATGTGGTGATGGCGAGGGCCGGTGCGAGAATGATAGAGATGAAAAGGCGGGGGCAAGGGCTAAGACGTACGGGGACGAGGGTGACGACGAATGCGATAGCGAATGCAAAGGAAAGAGGGAGAGCGATCTTAAAGACGAGAGAGAAGGTGAGACGAGAACAAGAGCAATGAGAATGGCAAGGGCGAAGGCGATGGAAAGGGCAAGAACGATGGAAATATCGAGGGTGGAGGCGATGGCAAAGGTGAGGGCGAGGCGAGGGCGAGTACGAAGACAAGGGCGAGAGTAAGGGCAAGCGCGCGCGAGGGAAAAGGAGAGGGAGAGGGATGAAGGAAGGGGATGAGGGAGAGGACGGGCGTGGGTAATGGCAAGGCTGAGGAAAAGACGAAGGTAAAGGCGAGGGCGAGGGCGAGGCGAAGGCAGAGCGAGTGCGTGAACTAGGACAAAAGTGAGGGCAATGGCGGAGGCGAGAGCGAGTGCCCTGGGAAAAGGGCGAAGGAGTGGATGAGGGAGAGAGCGAGGGGGAGCGAGAGGGTGAGGGAGATCGAGAGGGCGAGAGGGAAGGAGAAGGGCGGAAACGAGGACAATGGTCGATGGAAAAGACGAGGATGAAGGTGAGGGCAAGGGCAAGGGCGAGGTGAAAGCGAAGCGAGTACGAGAAAAACAGTGAGGGCAATGACGAAGGCGAGGGCGAGAGCCCTGTAAAAAGCAAGGGCGAGGGAGTGAGCGAGGGGGAGAGAGAGGGTGAGGGAGAAGGGGAAGGGAGATGGCGGGAACGAGGACAATGAGGGAACGAGGACAAGTCCGAGGGCGATGGAAAAGTCGAGGGTGAAGGCGAGGGCAAGGGCATGGGCGAGGTGAAAGCGAAACGAGTACGAGAAAAACAGTAAGGGCAATGACGAAGGCGAGGGCGAGAGCCCTGGAAAAGGCAAGGGCGAAGGAAAGGGCAAGAACGGAAGCGCGGGAAGGCGAACGGAGCGAGGAGGGCCGGAGTGAGGCGTGGAGCGGTGAGTCCAGGAGGGGCGGGCGGAGGGCATGGCTCACCGAGTCGTTGAAGCTGTTGAGCTGGCCGGCCGCCAGGAAGCGCAGCGAGGGGATGCGGGTGAGCATGTCGATGAGGCACTCGGTGGACAGGTCGGTGGCGGTGATGTCCAGCTCCTGCAGCGAGGTCTTCTCCCACTCCACCTGCATCACGTGCTCGCTCACCAGGTCTGCAACACGTCACCCACGTCAGCTCGAATCGCTAAGTCAACAACACCAATTAGCAATTCAACATCAGTTATCACTACACACAAAACAACTCCAAGTATTCCACCTAAACGATGATTGAGAGGGTTGGGATGTGTCACAATTCACTTGTGTTTTTACAAGTGAGGTAAAAATGAAATGAAGTGTAAATGCATGAGATGTAGAAAACCTTAAGTATTTGACGATTTATATTAAAAATTATTTTTAAATACTTTTTTCTACCAAAATCTTTCCAGTAATTGGATGTTCGTATAATTGGAGTTTAACTGTAATATATTCGGAGTGAGCTTTCTAGAAATACCCAAGTTGAATACGCGATTCTTACTTTAAATGTGCCAATAAAGAAGGAGAGACATATGTCGAGGACGCTTTGCTGTGATAATTTGGCACGAATAGGTAGCAACGGCCATTGGATTGGTTCATAACTTTCGCTACAAAAAGCGTCGTTTCTTCGTTCTTTATAATTTCTTGCTTAACTAGTAGATTTCAAATATTCATTGTACTAAAAATCTTACGTTCGTATCACTGCAGTAAGGTACATGTGCCATTCATGCAACTATAAAAGAGTCTTAAAATATAACAACAGTATACTATGACTGTTTTCCTGATCACGAGATTGAGCAAGTTGTCACTGTTTTCCAAAGGTCTATATAGTGATAGAGATAGAACTATTACAGTGAAATAGATTGGAGAAAGCAAATTCGTAGGCCGACTGATCTGATTAGTTACTTCCCCAATTACTTCCAGGGGAATACTGTTGCAGCACCTTCCTACACGCCACAGATCGCACGCAACCATTACTTCCCATTCCCGTCCCTTGTATCCTGACCTACCACAACCCTGCTTCCTCTTCTTCTTCTTCTTCTTCTTCTTCTTCTTCTTCTTCTTCTTCTTCTTCTTCTTCTTCTTCTTCTTCTTCTCGGCTTTTTCACCTCAGGAGCTTGCCGTTTTCACCCTCCACAACTCTCTGTCCTCCCAGTCCCCTGTTTTGAGGCCTCTATTCTCCATAGCTTTCTGGATGTATTTTCCCACTCTAAAATAGGTCTTCTTTATCTTCTCTCAGGTGGTAGCCACTTTAAGATCTTGTGTGGCCATCTGTTTTGAGACATTGTCATGAACATGTCCATACCATTGTAGTTATCTATTTTCCAAGGTCTTCGTAATAAAACAAATTACATTCATCGTTCTCCATATTTCTCCCTTTCGCACTCTGTGCCTGCAGTAAGTTGTAGGCATCGTCACATGTAGTCCATTTCTACTGTCCTAATGTTATCTCTTACTTTTTGTGTTTGTAGCCACATTTCCGCTTCATATAGAACTATATTTTCTACCACACAGTGGAAAATCCTTCTTTTGACATCCTGTCGGATATTGTTATTCCATAATACGCCGTGTAAATCTTTGGCTACGACAACCCTATCTCTCTTAATTCTGACTGTCTCAACGTTTGTATGTGTGAGGCAGGACGTCCTCTATTTTCTCCCTCATAAGCAGCACACATATACGGGTACTGGATTAAATAAGGCTACATCATGTAAACCACTAATAATTCACTAGTCAAGTAACCTCTGACAAAAGCAAACGTCACGTTCTGCCTCCAGATCTCAATACGTACGAAAGCGGCGGGCGCCTCCAATTCACCACGCATCAGCGGAGATGGTCAAGGCCGATGCCTGCCCACCCGCGTGTCCCATTGTTCGGGCTGACCCTGTGGAATCGGGGGCACTGAAATCTTAATCGGAGCTCGTGTCTTAACCGCAGGAACAGAGCCACTGTATGCTCCGGTGCGCTGAGACTCTTAATTCAGGAAGCGGAAAACTCATTCTGCTGTGATATTGAGCGTTGCCTGCACGAACGTTAGGTGCACAATAAAAAATTGGAAATATTGAAGTAGCTACGAAACTTCACATTCAAGTCGTCGAATGGACGTCGATACTTAGTTAGGTTGAAAACACCACAATCTACCTAGCGTACTGAAATTAAACATATCACTTTCATCGTTGGTCAATACATGTGGGTTTTTTTTCGTATTTTCCAAATACAGAAGAGTATTTTTAATCAAGTAAACACAGTTATATTCTGCAAACCTAATTGACTGGCAATGAACAAAAATTCCCAAGCCATTTAGCGTGGAATCTTTGTCACATGCTACATATTCTCCAAACTTAAACTGACACAATCCCTGAAGACTCGTGGAATGGCTAGAGGATTGTAGAGAAATTGTATTGCCGTCTTAGGTAGCCAAGATTTTGAAGATGGTAATGTCGGAACGTCTTCGAATCAAAGTCGAATCAAAGGGACGCGGGTTCGAATCCCAAATCGAACATGAACTCTTGCTTGTGTGAAACGACATGATGAGTCTCTCCCAACTATCATGAATCAATTTCAAGTCTCTTCCTTTCGTTATCTTAGTTAGTTTCTCTCTCCCATACCGTGTATTAGAACCGAGATGTCCCTGCGGTACACCTTGTTTCTCTAAATAGCAGACTGCAAAACAAAGCAAAGCAGAGATGAGACTAAAAGCCTAAAGCCTGGACGAAGAGGGGATGGTCCCAACCAGGACTTGGAAGAAGTGGAAGGGCGACAGGACGGTACATCCCGGGAACCCAATATAAGGATAGATGGCCGGGGAATCGCAGAAAAGAACGTAATAAAACAAGGAACATAATCAAAGAGCAGCCTAATAAATTTCATTATTTTTAAATTCATTTACATCAAAATAAAACTTTATACAAGAAAGTTTTCAGACAAGTAAGATGTGGTCCAGTAGCCATTGAAGGGCCAAACATTTTGTCCACGACTAAGTTGGGCATCCTAAACGGTGACAGAGACCCGGGCGCAGCATCTAAGGCGGCTGGCTGGTGGCACTGGCCAGTTGCCAGCCAGCATAATAAATTCAAAAAGAAGATAATTTTTCTAGGGCATTGAGAGCGCATTTGTGATTTGCTAATTGCACCACAATTGCGCCTAATCTCCCTTAACGTGCATTGCGAACGCAAACGTGCATAAAAAACGCATTTTTGGAGTACTTTGAATATCCCCTCTCCCTTTCTAAAGCACCTGTATCACACACTTGAACCCCCTCTAATAGTTACGTAACGCTTACGACAAGACCCACCCCTTATTAGAATAAGTAAAAATAACTTGTCAAGCAAAAATGAGTTGTATTAATTGTACTTGTGTTACATATTAAAATTTATGATAATCAAAGAGAGAATTACTTGGTGTTGCGGACTGCACAAAACAAGAAGATCGGCAACAATTTTTTAATAAAAGAAAGATTCGTAGGCGAGAAAATTTCTAACACAGGGTCGTGGATAACGCATAGGCTCCGAGTCTACAACGCCAACTTAATTGGATTCTATACATTATATATATATATATATATAAATATATATATATATCACTTTTTAATATTTTCTTCGTAATCTAACGGATTCAGTAACGAAACACATTTTTCATTTATTTTTCAAAACAATTCAAAACAATTTTCATTTATTGTAAGAATTTAATCTTCTTTAATTTATTATATTTATTATTTATTTTGTTAATATGGTAGTGTTTTAGTATAAGAGTGATCAAAAGAAAGTATTTCAGAAACTGTTGAAAGATTTTAAAAAGAAATATCAGCATTACGTAACGTTTATGGCCCCCTACCCCTATGTAACGAGGCGTAACGCTGCCTCGTGAGACGCATGAGCAGTCGTGCCTTATCGCGACAACGAGGAGACTTGTGCCGCCCGGCCCGTTGCATCAACTCTGCGGCTCTAATGCCGGGGTATGTAAACTGCGGACCAGAAGGAAAATTAAGAGTTAACCCGTATGTAAATTGAGGACCGGCCCAGAGATGGGCGTACGTAAATTGCGGACCGACTACTTCACCCCCTTTCACGTAAAAGTGGAAGGTGACACTTTATTTGCGACGAACATTTTCATAGATATTATTTAAAAAAAACAATCCCCTCTCAATTTTTCAGACATATGACTGGCATATTTCTTTCGAAACATGTTTTGGTTAAAGTTGGTATTCATTCAATTTAATCATTCGTTGATTGAATGAATTCTGTTTTCCTTTCCATTTTATATTTTTCCATTTTCTCATCTATAATATTGTATGACGCAGAAATTGAAATTTGGGTATTCTTCCACTATATTACTGAACTAACTATATAACTGAAAACAGTAATGTGGAAAAGTTCACATTCCTTCTTGTCAATTAATGTAAGAGATACTTTTTTTTTATCGAGAAGAAATTTACCTCTAACTATTAAATATCTAGTCGATAGTGAGACAGTTTGGAGGCGATACCTCTATTTAAGCAGTTTCGATTCTCTAACGCCTTGTAGCTTACTTTGCTTTTCATTTTGATATAGGAGCCTGTAAGACTTTCAATAAGCCGCAAAGAAAAGCTGGACAGCACTGCAGCGGCGGCGGTGGCGTCGGCCCCATCTAACGCGCTTACCTGCTCAATCAGTCCTTTTCCGTACCTGCGTTGCTTTGGTCCGCAATTTATATGTACAACTAGAAAGTAAGATTCGCGTGAAAATGTAAAGGGATTATTTGGTATGCAATTTACGTACGCCCTCCAATGTTGGCTTTACACTTGTAAGAAAATGGCGATCAATATTGTTTTGCAAGAAAAGTTGCCAATGTAAACATTGTGTCAATAAATATTTTTCAAATTGGCAACATGTCGTGCTAGATATTCCGAGCGGAATATAAACTTGTGTTTACGCCTCAGAAATATATTGCCGTCTGTTGCTACGACTAGAAGTGGATTAGAGTTTGAGCTGGGCGAAGCCGACCACGGTTACGTGTGTAGGAAGTACGAATAAGGTAAAACATAAACAGAATCTTTTGCATTGTAGTGGGCGTTTTCTTTTTTTTTTTTTGTAAAAAGGATGTGTGGAAATGTTTAATACAAGAAAAGTAATAGTAAATATTCTAAACCCTCTTTAAGGTTGATTTTATCGAATAGTTCAAATTTTGGCTCAGGTGTAGATGTCCCCTGATTAGTATTTTTTTACGTTAAAAATAATTAAGATATGAATCTAATGAAAATATATTATAAGATTAATCTATAAACATATCAATAGTAAGTAATGGGTATTTAAAAAAATATTTTATCGAATTAATTATTGCTCTTGTGCAAAAGGAAAATTATTTTGCCCCAACGTAAATGGAATTGCAATGATAAGTAAATAATTAAATAACTGTCAAATACACAAAATGCGTATTTGTTCTTAAAACTAAATTGTAAATGCACATTCAATATTTTTATTCCACAAAATAATTCTCCCAAATAAGTCACGTAACAGTTTTTACTGATTTGTGGAAAATGAATCAAATCGAACCTTTAACGAGATCCCAACATATTTCTTTAACAATTTTAAGAATAACAAACCATCCGTTTCCTCGAAAGCATATTCCATCTAAATAAATTTGGTGTTATAAACATATTATTACCGGAGTTCAATTATATTACTGAAAACAGTATATGTGAAAATTTCACATTCCTTCTTGTCAATTAATGTAACAGATACTTTTTTTCATCAAGAAGATACTTACCTCTAATAAATATTAAATAGCTAGTCGATTGTGAAAAATTTTGAAGACACGTCCATTTACGCAGTTCCGATTCTTTAACGCCATGTAGCTCTCCCCCTCCATCGAAAATCGCGCCATAACGGAAGGCCCATTGGACTCACCGCGCGCTCTACCAGCAAACAAGAAAGCACAACGCGTGTCACGACTCGCAACTGTCATCACCCGCCAAACTCGAAAAGCATAAATGTTTACATATGGGCTTGTGGAACTATTTGGTAATAAACGTGACTTTCTTGTTATATTTTCATATCCCCAGAAACTATGTAACCTCACTATTACGAATTATAATAGATCTGTGTCAATAAATGAACTTCAAGTACTTTCAAAACTTATTGATAAGTATACCTAAAATTTTTTTTAAACATTGTATTTATCACAATATTCATTTTCGTTATCTTTATTATTATTATTATTATTATTATTATTATTATTATTATTATTATTATTATTATTATTGTGTGTATAGTTTGTAATATAAGGTTACTCAAATTAATTGCTATGAAGCGAAACGAAATTAGAATGTAATGAATAGGGAGAGGATTTTTACTCTCTAAAAAATCTTGAAAAATGCTGTTAAAATATGAATTTATGACCTAAAAATTCTGAAATATGAACTCCAATATGTAATAAAAAATAACATTTCATATCCTTTATAAACATTTTTTAATATAATTCAGGAGAAGCAAGCTTGGGATAAAATATATGTTTTTGAACTAATATAATATAATCTACCTTATTTCGTGGGAGAAATACTAATTGATGTAACTTTTCCCCTTAGTGAAGTACATTGTATGACATGTTGCATTTCTTCTGGCTTGTTTAAAAAATGTGATATAAAGAAATATCCTATTTTTGCACAAGTATTTTATAATCTATAAAAAAGAAAAATGGCCAACTGTAATCAGCTCGTTCTAATCAATCGACGCTCACAAATCAACAGTAGATTCTATGAAAAGATTAAACGCTTTTGAGATAACAATATGCAACATATGCACCTTTAAATGCGAGTACCATCACCCATACCAGGAGCTATATGGAACAACGGAAAAAATTAGCCAAATATGCACTAACATGTTAGTCTACATAGCATCCATTACTAAGCAAATGTCAAGAAATTTCACTTAGCTACAAACTGAAACAACGGACAAAAATATGCGAAATCTTAGAAATATTAGAAATTCGTTATGAAACGATTTTGTTTTACATTTTTGTGATTTACAATTAGTGTCAAACATTAAATAAAATATAAATAAGTAATAAATGATATAATATTTTACTTGACATTTAAAAAAAATAAAAGTGTTTCACTTAGTGAATTCACGTTCGGCATATCAGGAAAAATCCGAATGAAAATAAAATATACCAAGTAATAAAAGCAGAAGAACAGCGGCGTCAAACGCTGGGAAAACGAACACTGGTTCACTTTACTCAACCGGATGACCCCTTAATTCAAATTAAACTAAAATTCTTATTTCACGACCCCTTGAGAAGGATTTGAATAATTTGAAAGAAAATATTTTGGAAAAAATCTCTTGGGGACTCCCAAATATTTTTAACTAATACTTGATATCAAAAAGGTCTTTCATATCGAATCGAACTTATTTGCTGTATTACCGTCAGGAGACCTTACTTGGGAGTGCAGACAATTTGGGATTAATTTAGTGAGTTTCTGGTCTGAAATTTTATGAATGAAATGTAATTAAAAAGCAACTCTTAACACCTTTCAGGATATACAGGAAAATAGCAACTCTTAAACGTATGTAATGTACAGAAACATTCAGAACTTCATCACACTCAAAAATGAAGTCTCAAATCGTCTCCAGTTTGGTAATTTTAATATATATCTTTAGTATATTCATAAAGTTAAGAAAATCGTTAATTTGTATTGTAAGCTGACATGAATTGCATAACCCCATTACAAAACTGAAGGCAAAAAATGGTAAAAGTAAAACAACCATTGTGACACGCACTACAAAATCTCTAGTAAACGACATGAAAACCATGATGTTCATTACGATCCAAGCACCGCAATGGGAATAATTCGAATACCGCAATGGGATAAATTAATTATATTTTGCCAATTTTACATCACAATCGTATTGAGAGTTTAAATATTATAAACAAATATTTGAAAGTATTTGTACATTTTTCGAATGGGAAAATTCTTTGAAGAGTAACCAGAAAAATTAACCTATTTGGAATTTTACATGCGCCAATAATTTCAACATACGCATGATCTGAAGGACAAAATGCAGCTCTTCAAATGGAATGTTACAGAAGACATAGCTCCTAGCGTACAGGAAGAGATAATACTTGGCATAGTGCTGCAGACAGTGCTGGAATCTAACCCACCATACGAGTTAAATCTTTCAACTATGTATAGGTACAATGACGGAAGGGATTCTGGAACTCAAGAAAACGTGCGCAGATAATCTTCTCCCCCACACGTCACATACAGTTTTTACTGTTTTTTTTACTAAATAAATCTCAATATAAATTTAAGATATTCAAAAATGTAGTACTTAACTGCTCAAGCACAACAAGAAATAAATTACCCTCTTATAGCACTGCAAAAAATTGATTATTTTAACAAAAATATCTTTACGAATACGGCAATATTGTAGCACAGTTTGTATACAGTACGACAGTCCTTTACATACAAAAATATAAAAACATTGCTTTTCCTTAACGCAACATGAAATAGGAAATATTTCATTGCGGGCGGACCCTTTCTTGGAGCCTTGCTGACGCATGACATAAGTTGTGTAATGAAAGTGACGAACTGAGTATGTTAATTGAATCAGTATGCGCAGTATTAGAATTTGAGGTGAAATAGCCCAATCAAATATTTTCATTTTTAGTCAAAATCGAAATCTTTTAATTGTTTGATTTTTTCGAAGTTTTTGGGTATATATAAAAGTCATATACATTTCTCTACATTTCTCACATGGCCGGAGGCAGTATAGTTTTTATTCAATTTCTGCGCGTATTGAAAATTTGTATTTTAGATCAAGCTGCCAATCTTATTAACATAACGCTTGCAGGGATATGTGTAATGGGCTTAATTGCAGAATATCTTACTTGTCTGGTTCATGAGGAGGCAACGGAGCCGCTTGCTGCGGGCGAAGACATTCTTGAGACACGAACCATTGACCTTCGCGCAGAAGTTGACAGCCAGACACTCCAACTGCAAGGTCATAAAAGTTTGTTAGAAAAAATATATTTTCCACCATATTTTTGCTTGGTTATACAATTTATAAAAAAATATTGTCTCAAAAACGACCCAAGTTTTTCTTTTATTTTTTTCCTTGGGAAAGAGCAAAAAACGCTTAAATGGTACAGGTATCATTTTCTTTGATTTCTCTCAGTTTTTAAAATTTGCAGAAGTTAAAAATAATGCGGGAAAGTCTGTACCGTTAAACACTTATTGCTTTTATTCGTTTTTTAATGTAAAAGTCTAGGTATTATAGGATGTTCCCCCATCAAATTATGCCGGATTTGAGGCAAAAACTAAAATTTGCAACTAAAACAACGCACTGTAAGAAAATCTGTCTGCATTTGAAAGAATTCTGAATCCGTGACCTAATGAACGTAATTTAGGGTTTGATTGATTTATATAAGACAACATTTGAGAGATTCAAAACTATTATCGTAACGACAGTCAAATGCCCATTGTTCATTTTCAATGGCGCAAGTGATTACTAGTGATGTTTGTCAACAGCCGAATATGAACGGACGACTGGTCCATTTTTTTCAAGATCAGGATCCCGTTGGAAATACGAATGTATTTGATAATTAATTGTCTTCTATTATTGGCAACAAAACACTAATTGCAAATTGACTCCTCCACTTTCGTTTTTGCCGTCCATCCTTAAGGACATCGGTCAAGGGACTAGCGAGGTTGGAGAAGCCAGTGCACCATATCGAGTTGCTTGAAGTCTGGGGTCCCTAATACGGAGCTCTGGAGAGGGGAACGGCAAAGAATGAAACAAATTGCACTGCATGCTTTTTTCCATTGCGCCAGCCATATTTTTATATCATTTATATTTAGAACAATTAATTTTATGTTGAATAATTGCAGATACGGGCCCCATCCCGACTTAAGAACATTCGTTCTTAAAAGTTAAGAACATTCAGAAAAACCAACTTATAACTATATACACCCTACTGCACAAAAAAGAAAATATTCTACTCAATGCACGCTGAGGTTTGTGCGCACGGGAATATGTTGGCCATCTCTTAGAAAACGTTCAATAGTTTGTTACCATTGCATCACAATGTTTTCTTCATAGTATTTACGTGCAATGCGTTGTCATTTTGTAACCCATGTATTAAGGAGAAAAAAATGTAAGGAATTGATGTCTAAAATAATTATTTTAAAAGGGGTAGATGATAGAAAATGTTTTGGAAACCCTGGAATAGAACAAAGGACGCTTGAAAAATGTAATTTATGTAAATGTAAAGTTATTTACTACATGTGATCAATATTTATCATCTTACTGGATATCAGAGACTCACAAAGCAAGTTTTTCTGACAAAAAATCGGCGTTTTGCCGCAGCAATACATGACTTTATCTATACAACGTAAGTAGTATGTGAGAAAGTAAATATATAATAAAAATTTTGGAAATGTTTTGTTGAGTTTTTTTTACTACGAGAGGGTTAGATCAACGTCTAGAATGGCAAACCCACATCAGTACCTAACTGTAGCTGGCTGAACTGTGAAGTAAACATTACTACTGTCAATACCGTTCCCTCATTCGAGATACCCTACTTTTGTCAGCAGAGTATTTACACAAAACGTAACGATGTGTTAACAATTATCTTTGACTGACATAATTGTAAAGAAGTGATGACTTAGAAAAATAGGTTGAATTTCGTTCCACTCCCCAAGAACCACTCAGAACAATGTTTATGAACAAGTACTATGTTGAAAATAAAGTTTATTGAAACATAAGAACAGGAATGTTTTATCGCTAAATTTAATATTTGTTTTTGCTCTCATTTCAAGATAAATTTCTATAGCCCCGAAGTAAATTTGTTCTGAGTATGATGTTCTCTCCCACAAATGAATGGTAGCAAGTGGTAAATCTTATCGTGAATAAACAAATGTTTTTGACAGCACACGTAATAAATGAATAGTACGATGGGCATTTTTGTGTAACAAATAAGTACATAAAAGAATTCATGTTGTATGAAATTACCTGAATACAGTTGGAACTGAAGGCTTCTATGTGGCTGTCATCAACGAAGTTGATTCCATAGAGGTTGATGACACGCAGATTTGGAGTGGCTTGTTTCAGCTTGTGAACGTTGATAACTTCATAAATTTCTTCTTCCTCTTCCTCCACCTTCTCGTACGTTCCTATAATAAGTAAATGGAATAGAGAAATAGTACATTAGATAAGTAAGTTATTGTTATAATAAATATTAACTTTTACAGAGAGGCAAACTAAAGACATCAGTAATATTATAGAATGCATGAAATGGTCATTAATGAAATATGACATATAGGTTTAAAATATCAAAACATAATGATTTTTAGATTTTTTATGAGATACTGTCAAAATGTAAAATTGTTGAATGTAAATTGTCTTGTGTGAGAACATTATACAGAGGTTTAATGAGCCTTTCGAATGTATGTAAAATGACACTGGTAGTTGGTTGGTCTATACATAGTTGACATTTATTTTTATTATGAAACAATAAACTTTCAGAAAAGCACGGGCATATCTGATGTGTAAAACAAAAATTCGTTCGTACATACAAAACACAGCCTTAATTAATACTTAAGACAAATTAGTGATAACATTCGTGGACTTTTTTACGAATTTCAATTGAATAATAAATAGACTTGTTAGGAATACGAGTGTGATTAATTATTACCAATCAGGTGCAAAATTTCCAAGCCGTTGATGAAGTTGTAGATTTTCCGCATAAAACCTTCCATAAAGATGACTTCAGACAAGCAAATACAAAGGTACTTCAGCTTTGCAGGAAAGGCCTGTAAAAATTGAATTTTAAGTTTAGTAAAAGAAATATATCACACCGGAGTTGAAGCGAAATTACTTCATATGCGTATAATAATTAACTGAACCCGCCCAAAGTACACACACTATGTAATTCATTTCACGAGTGAAAAAGCTTCATCCTAAAACCCAATGTCGAACAGCTACTATAAAAAATGTGAACTATTCAAGATATCGCTAACGACCTCTTAGTTCATGTGACAATAAATAAATAAATTTTAAAAAAATCAACAAATTATTTTGTTTCAGTTACTTAATACAATCAACATTTCAATAATAAGGTATCGATACAGTGGCCTGTTTTCCATTTTTTTTTAAATTGGGCAGTAGTTTTTTTTGTCATTATCAAACAAATCATTGTCATAGTCAATCTAAAACGGATTGTTCAAAATTGCTTTCGGACACGGTAGGCGGAGGTTCTGTTATCTATGATATATCTGCGAAAACAAATGTGTAAATCGCCGTCATTTTGAAATTATCAGATTATGCTAGCAATCCAAAGAGTCAGAGGCTTGCAAAACACTACCTTACGATAGAATGCATTGACCACATAAACACGCCGAAATTGTATTTCCAAACGATAATATAAGGTACTACAAGCATAAGGCATGTATAAGCATAAGGCATGGACAAGCAATATAATCTATGAAACTTTACAGGCCACACGAAAGGTAATGCGGACGAAATTATGTAAAAAGCGAAAGTCGCACAGTCGACACCAAGCACATCGCCTTCGCCATTTCACCAGTCACAGGGAGTCACTGTCGCAGGGGAGGATTTCGCTGCAAAGCGCCGAACTAGTGACCTCTGATCGGAAACGTTCAGAATGCGCTCACGATTTCGCAGGAACAGAATATCACTCACGACCTGTCGCAGCTGACAATCAGAGGCCCGTTGTACAAATGAGGGGGCAGGGGACACAAAGGGCCCCTGTGGCTGGGTGAGAAGCAGGCGACCCGGGTAGTTGATTAACGGGGGACCTTTATGTAAAAGACATTCAAACCGCCCTCCCTAATACCTAAACAGAATTCATATCTCCATGCAACATAAATAGCGTGTATTGTTTAATATTAAATTGCAATATGTGCGATTATATTAATATATAAACACTGTATATTGACAATATTTCAAATAAATAATTTCAAACTGTAATTTATGAAAGGAAACTTACTTACTAAACAAAAATACATATTATATAAGAATTTTATCTTAAATGAATTTGAAATGGTATAATTTTTTAAAATAAATATTTAAATTTTTAATATAATTTTTTCTTTTAATAAATATTTGAAATCTATCCGTTTCTTTAAAACGTGATCAATAAGTAATGTTTACAGAGGTTAATTTGAATTAGATATAAAATCATTTAAAGAAAATATACATTTAGAATGAACTACATTCTGGGGGCCCCAGCGAGGTCGGGACCAGGATGGACTGGCCCCCGCCTCATCTGGGCGCCCTTGGGAGTCACCTGCATTTCGGAGAAGTCGTGCAGCTGCATGGCCGTGGAGAAGTCGAGCAGCATGTGCGTGAGGTTGGGGCACTTGCTCGCCAGCTCGTGCAGCACCGTGTGCGTGATCAGCTCGATCGGCAGCTCGATGTACCGCAACGTGGGGCCGAAGCGGATGCTGCGAACACACGTCACCAATATGTAATTAAATGGAGGGTTGGCGTTTATAGAAGGGAATAGTGCTCATTTACACGGATTTCATTTAACGCTGAAAACACTTGAAACCTTTGTGTGACGTATTGGGACATTACCAACATGGCCGCGACAGGGAATAGGCACGTTTTAATCAAATGGATGGTTGACGTTTATAGACGAGAGTAGTGCTCATTTACACGGATTTCATTTAACGCTGAAAACACTAAAAAACTTTGTGTAACGTGTTGGGAAGGGTGCAATCTGTGCTCGTTTTTTGAAGTTCTAGGATCCCTGCTCCTACTTTTACATTACACTAAGAATAATTACGAATAAAAAAACATTAACGAGATGAGAGACATTGACTTAGAATCTGAAGGACAATACTAGTTGTAAACATGCTTAGTCTTTTAGAAATGAGCTGTGCAAATGGTAACTAGTGTATTAATATCATTTTAATTATATTATTATTATTAATTTATTATTATTATTATTACTATTATTATTAGCTGTATATTAGTCTCTTTAATTGCATAGAAAAAATTCTTCTTCTTTCTTTAAAGAACCAAGATCAGGAAGCCCTCCAATTCATTTTTACTCGCATTCGAAATGAATTTTTAATGCAAAAGCAATAACTTAAAATTCAACATTCATATACATATAATTGGACTTAAGAATATATTGTAATAAATATATAAATACTCTTTATAACAGACTATCTTGATGTACAGTAGTATGCATCAATCTTATGCAGTGATCCACACGTAAATGATATTTGAGACTGTGCGCCATGCACTATATTTAAAGGCAGAATTGAATGTTGTGTTTTGGCAGGCGTACATTTATATACCGGAGGGGGTCCCAAAGACGAACTTGGAGGAGTCCGCTTTTCCCTTCCCCTCCGGAATACTCGTATTACACGTGAGTGTTAACGCAAGCATGAGCACGGACCTACACTTGGTTTTGGGAATATAATTGGAGGTTAATAGACTAAACAATTATAACCATTTGAGCAATGATTACTAAATCATGCATTTTCAATGGGTTTTTTTCTATTCAACTTTTGAGGAACGTTTCACAATAATGGCACATGTTGTGAATTATGTAATATTGAGATTCAAATAAAGTTGACTCATAGCTTTACTTACATGAACTATTGGAATGAAATGTATGCCACTCTGTTTCCATGAGCAATGACTGCTGCTAGAAGTGACTTCAGGCAACATTATTCTACCGGAGAGGTCCCAAATTCTAACTCAATATAAGTTAGGATTTCCCTACCTCGCCGGAAAGCTCATATAAATCAAATTAAAATAACCATGCTATTCAACATATTATCTTCCCGCAGTTTAAGTATATATATTTAATGTACTTAAAAAGTACCAACCGGTGATATATTTATAAAATATTATTAATACAAGTAGCCCAACTTGTATGCAATTAACAATAATACAATTAAATAATACAATAACAATATAAGAAGCATTGCATTTGTGTTAAAGATGCATTGATATTCTCTTTTTCTGCGTTAATTTTTTTTTAAACAGAGGGTTCTTCGCTAATTTAAAACTCAACTTATTCCATTAAAAATGTAGTGATAATGTATATTTACCTCAAATTACGTGTGGATGCAAGATGTTTACTTCTCTTGTAAAATTGGTGGAAATGGAGCTAGATGGTTTTGACATCAATATAGTACTTACACAAGACGCACATACTTTATTATGCTTAACTACATACATGCGTGCATTCCACATACATTACATACACACCAGATATCATACAAACATATTAATGCCACAACCAATCACTAAACACATGACATTCTTCACTACGCTAATAACTCCACGCAAGAAGATTAAAATTTCTCCTTTACCACGCACATTTCCTACCCACATACCGAGAACATACCCACACCATATCCATTCTAACAAGGCCACATTCTCCACACTCAATTCCATGACATCCCGCTCATCATGGAAGTGCGTTTGCGCGTGCCCAAATACACCCATACAGAACCTCATCCATGCATACTCCCCAACTCGCACATGCACAAACCAACAATATTTACCCTTCATTACAATAAATACAACTCAGAATCGTTATAACCGTCACTCATACGACCGGTACATGGTTAGTACAGAATCAAGGTTGTATAATCAGAGGAGCCGTAAAAATACGAATAAAAAGCAACTAAATGAGTACATAAAAATATAATAAAGCAAATAACTGGTTATGTATTGTATATATTGATATACATGCAATACATACCATAAATATTTTATTGAAGTACTACAACAATCTGCAATGTCGAGTAGGATTTAAGAATTTGAGGAGAAAAGGGGGTTCGATAACCCGAGATCGGATATGAGGGGTTCTTCTGTACAGTCGAACCTCAGTTTTCCTACGCCTTAGTTTTCGAAAGAGTCTCTTTCCTGTTCCCGATTTTTATACATCTGCTTGGTTTTCGAACTGTCGCAAATGGTCCATACCAAACTTGCTTCCCTGTGCACCTAACTAGTTTACTCATTTCCTGAAATCACACACCCTCACAGCGTTTCATGCCTTCGTGACTAAGATAAGTCATAATCGTAAAGTGGAATTTGTTGTTGTTGTTATTGAGGGCGACTGATATATAGGTCACAAATAGAAGTGATATGAAATCAATGAATGTTTGAAATGGAGCCCTTGACTCAAACGCGAGAAACAAGATATAACTCGTGATGAAAAATATATTTGGGGGATTATTTTTTTACATTTGAACAGATAATGTTTCTTATAGGAAATATTACTTCTGTGTTCGAACGTTTGTTTTTATTAGAAGATTGAGAATGTATTAATTACGAACACCGAAGTTTCACTGTACAAACCAGATTTTAAAGTCATGCACTATATAACTACTTGAAATAAAATTCTTATAAATTTCTCCAATATTTGTTTTCTAAATGTACGAGTATTTACACATTTCCGGGTCCAAATCTCTTCTGCAAGTACATTATCGCAATTCGCTATTCATCAACACATATTTTTAATCTTTTTGTAGTTTTCATTCTTATTCTAAACTCTGGCGTCACTGAAATTACCCTCTTATTTAAATGTATAAATATGAAACGGTCCATTTTTGAAACGTTGAATTCGAAATGTATGCCACGCTGTTTCCAACAGCAACAAATGCTGGTAGAAGTGACTGCAGGCATCTTTGTTTTACCGGAGGGGTCCCAAATTCAAACCCTTGAAGAGTTTGAATTTCCCTACCCCGCCGGAAACACAATTTTATTATACAAAAGAAAAGTAATTACACCGTAATTCATAAATAAACCTGTCTTCACTTATTACTCTGAAATATATTTCACAATTGACTCTCTAATATTACATCATTCAACTGAATAAAATCTTAAAAATCATGATAGCAATGTAGATTAGCGCAATTCAATTGTGTAATGAAACTACTTTTCCGAGAGGGGAAAGACTTTCGATGTTAATGTGTAAATTACAACTATTTCATGAGATTAGTAAATGTATCCAACAAGTGAAAAAAATGAATACGCGTTCACGAAAAACAATCTCGTATTTCAGTTTAGAACATCAATGACGTTCTCAATGAGTTGCACATGATTCGTAGCTGCAAAATATTTCCAAAGTTTCGTGAAACTGTGAGACAAGACTGACGGCTACGCGGGTCCTAATATGACGAATTAAGAAAGCAAAATAATAAAACAGGATATTATAGTTACTAAATTATATTTATCAATTAGAATTATATAGAGAACTGTTAATCTTTTGCTACTCTTTGCATTATGTTTGCAACTATTTCAAAAGTCTCAATAGTCTTGAAGTTTCGATGGTTTGTTGTAAATTTGTAAAGGTCACGTACTCGATTCTTGCCAGAAAAAAAGTACCTTCCATAGTTTTTAATGAACTTTTAAATTAAATACTTCAATTACTCATCTTTATTAGAAGAATACCAACACTAAGGAACTAAAGTGTCAAGAGAATTATTTTTGCTTAAAAATCGGGAAAACAAACATTATTTGGAAAACGTGAGTTAGAATGTTCAGGAAATCAAACCGCGTAATTGAATTACCCTTGGCAAAAACCATCTTCGTTCTTCTTTTCTATGGATCATTGCGTCTGGAGGAGTTCTTTTATCCCTTAATGCAGTCGGGAGACTTTTTGAACCACTAAAACAAAATTAGCCAATGTAAACTCAGAAGCTCGGCGACGGAGAAAGGTTCCTATTGAATTTAACGAGATAAGTAAGATAAATCTTCTTCAGTGAAGCGACACAGTCGACGCCAGTACAAATAGTTCTCCACTACGTGGGTGGTAGAGACTAATAAAAACAGGCGGAAGTAATCCAATGGAACATTCAGCAAACATTGCTTCGACACACCTTAAAAATAGTTTCTGTTCTTGCAAAAATTCTGCATATAAATGAAGTGCAGAAGTAAGAAGCAAATTCACTACCATCTTGCCCGATAAAACTGATTAAAATGAAATATTTAACAATATAACAGGACAAACTGCAAATCTGCTGCACATAAATCAATTGCAGAAGTAAAAAGCAAATTCACTACCATCTTGCCCACTAGAACTGATTAAAATGAAAGATTTAACAATATAACTGGACATTGGGTTGATGAAAATAATTTTATAATTTGTGATTGTGTCGGATTATGCGTGTCAAGCAGAAACCAAGGTCACCCTTATCGACATAGTTATTATGTAGACAATTGAGACTCTTTCAATTTTCATGCCTCTTCCAAACGCATGAGTTCGGGGTTTTCACGAACCTACGCATGCACAGTTTGGCTCCTACGATTTGCTACTTTTTTCCGCCTGTGAATTTCTGCTGGTTCGACTTTTGTTTCTTGAAAGCATCAGAATATGGAAAAGATCATGCGATATATTTGGCGAATCCGCTATGTTTTGTTGATAGCAGATTCACATTGTCTACAAAGAATTGGCAGCATTGATAGTAATGCA